GCCCTGTCCGACCTGGGTCGCACAAGCACAGGCGCCCACGCCATGTTGGCGGCCCGAAGGGCTCGCCGCCCACGCCGGGCCAGAAGGCAGGAGGCGGAAAACCAGCCTCCGGTGGCGGGCGAAAGCAACCACTCTCTCTGTTCTCCCTTCGCCCTCCCTCGTGGAAACGCAGACTCGACCCTAAACGCTTAACCCACAGAGATCAACAGGTTCAAGAGGAATATTCGCGATCCTCGGTTTCTATTGGTTGCTCAAAGCCTTTTCATGCAACCAGCAGCTCGGATGTTTAATAAAATATGCATTTTTCTGCTCTGGGTTTGCACACATCCGTTGCCACTGTCCTGTCCTTCTCCTCCCTTTAAAAACAGGAGCTCTTCTAGTGTGAGCATATAGAGTCACCATATGTATATCGCCCTGGAACCTTTATACTCTGCGCCCGAACCAGAGACTCCGGTTTTTAAGGAGTCAAAGCTGAGTTTAGATAGTAGAGACTGTTTGCAGTTCTTTCCAGCGCAGGATCCAGGCCAGCATGGGTGTTAAAAATCATTTCCGGAAGAGCCGGTCTGCAGAGAAATTAATACTTGTCCTGAGCTTGGAAATCAACAGTCCCAGGAACTGCGTCCGCCTGGGGTTCAGATCTGAACCTCGCCGTCAAGCGCGCTGGCGAACCTGTAGTTCGGGCCTGTAGTTGTGGACTCAAGGCCGGGAGGCTGAGCTGGGCACCTTGACAGTAATTCCACCATTTTACAAATTTAGGAAGACCTGGTGCTGGTTTGGAAGAAGAAGAGTCGCTAGATCTCGGCCCTGCGGGGCATTACTAGCTACGGTGATCTTAAGTATTGCCGTATTTTCTAGTTCTCAGAGTTCGTTTTGTGGACATTTGTCCCTTCTTTAGGAAGGAAGTGGATAACACTATAGTGAACATTATGAACCAATTTAATAGCAAAGTATTTTTACTGATATTGTACTGAAATTAAAATATGAAAACACATCCTTCAGATGCTGCCAATGAGGTGGGAAGGCTTTGTCTCTTACATGTCGTCTACACAGTGGATGCCACTCAAAGTTTTGGGGCTTCGAAGAGATGTCCAAATTTCAAGTTGATCAATAGACTTAATAAAATCTCTATTTTTGTCCCCAAATTTCCAATTAATGATCTAAACAGGAACAGACCGTGTTATAAACAACTTAATTGCTTGCTTAAATATGTGATTCCACACATGCCACATATTTTCTTAATTGGAAAAATATGGCAGTACACCAGTTACTGCAGGCACCAAGTGCCAAATTAATTTTATTGTTGAACTCCTTTGAATTGTTATAGGATGCTCTGCCATTGAGATAAAGACATTTCCTAACACTGCGCTAGCACCAAAGGATTTTTGCTCTAAGAGAACCAAGTACTGGGTGATTGAAAACACTAAAGGAATTGTGTAAATATAGATCCCCACCTCCCCGTCCCCGCCCCCAACACACCAAGAAACCGAAACGCCTCGCCGGGGAGAAGCAGCGTAGCCCGGACCCTAGCTTTCGTTGGCTTCCTTCTACCTTCAAAGAGAATGGGAAGTTTTGGCCCCTAAGATCCAAAGATTCAGGGTCTCTGCGGAGTTCGAGGGGTCTTGGCGGCCCCAAACACGAGGCGAGCTATCCACCTCTCCCCTTCTCCCTCCCTGCAAACTCCTTGCTAGAGGCTAGCTTTAGTCCCGCCGTCCGGTCCGGCACCCCCTCCTGCAGCCCGGCCCCGCGAACTTCCACGTTCGCCTGCGGGCCATCCGGGCTGCGGGCCCATTCTCCGGCTGGTGAAAAATGCATTTCGATGGAATGGGAACATCTGGGAAGGGCGCGCACAAATCCCACACGCTTCCTCCCCAACAACACACTAGGACCCCACCCACGACCGAGCATACCACCGGACCCCCACCCTTCCACTATCACTCCAGCTTACAAAGCTGGGGTCCAGGGCCCTCGCCGCGTCCCTCTCCCCTCCCCGCTGGGCCTCGGAGTCCTCTCCCGCCCGAGAAGAGTCAGGAAGGAGGGAAGGGGAACCGTTGCCCGGGGTCAGTCAGGTCGTTACCCTCCGTCAGTCGCGGGCTGCCCGGCTCCCTGCTTCTCTCGGCAGCGCCCATGTCCAGCTCCCGGACAGGAGAGCGCCCTCCTCCAGCTCCTCCGCCTGCTCCTCCTCCTCCTACACCTCCTCCGCCTCCTCCGCCTCCGCCTCCGCCTCCTCCGCCGCCGCCTCCGCCGGCCGCCCGGACTGCCGGGCTGCTGCGGTCGTCGCGGCCGGCCTCGGTGCAGCCGGTCAGCTCCTTGGCCCCGCGCAGCGGCCCGCTCTCCAGCACCTCCCGGTACGTGATCGCCTCCTTCTTCTCCTTCACTTTCTGGTCAAAAGACTTGGAGACGAACGCCGTAAGTTCTTCCATCGCCGCCGCACGTCAGCCCGGCGCTCAACCTCTGCCAGCCGAGCCCCGCTCTTTTTTTCCTTCTTCTTTTTTTACTGCTCCAGCCCCCCCAATAATAACACATCAATGGGACAGGAGGTGGGGGAGGAGAGGGAGGAGGAGGAAGAAGAAGAAAAAGAGGAGAAGAAGGAAGAAAGAGGAGGAGAAGTAGGAGAAAAAGAAGTAAGAAGAGGAGGAGGAGGAAGAAGAGGAGGAGGGGGAGAAGGGTGAGGAGGAGGAGAGGGAGGAGGAGGAGGAGAAGAGAAGGGGCGGGGGCCGCCGGAGGGAAATGGGAACTGATGCTTCCCTGCCGGAGTGCGCTTGTTCAATGTTAAGATCTTTGACAATTCTTCCTGCGGAGAGTTCAGATCTGATAGCGACGCTGCGCTTGAAGTCTCACTATTTATACTTCCTAAAGGCGGCCCCTTGTTCTGAGTAAATTACCTCCCCGCGCAACTCGGAGTGAGCCCCCTTCCCGGGTAGCAGTCGCGCCTCTACCGGGGGTTGGGGAGGGGAAAAGGAGAAGGAGAAGGAGAAGGAGAGAGAGAGAGAGAGAGAGAGAGAGAGAGAGAGAGAGAGATTGGAGTTCGGGCGGGCTGGGGCTGGAGTGGTAGGGCAGCACAGGGGGACTGGAGGGGGCGGGGAGAGGAGGCCGGTCCCCGGCCGCTCAGGTTTCCAGATAGCCCCTGCCGCCTATGCTCTTGGCCATTAATCCAGGATTGACAAGAATCCCTAATTAATTTAATTAGGCGTGGATTTTGCGTTGGTGTCACGACTTAGTTAAACACTGGGGAGCTGGATAGACCCCGCGGGGTGGGGCCAAGAGGAAACTGACAAGTGCGCAGCTCTTAGAGTCAGTCTGGTATCCCGACACTACATCCTTCCCTACAGCCTTGCTTGGAGTCAGGATGCCTCGCAACTGCTCAGCTTCGCATTTCTTTTCCTCGTCCCTGCCCTGCATCAATCGCCCAGCAGTTTATAGGCCCCGCATCCCATTCTCGCATCCTGAGCCCGCATCCCAATCCTGCATCCCCGCCTCTCACTCACACCCTCGACCCCTGCCGGCAGTAGCTCCACCGCCCGGCATCATCCTGCCCAGAGTCAGGGTTGTCTGCACCTTCTCCGACCCGCGCAGCTTCTCTTAGGAGCTTCCCGGCTCGCAGGCAGGTTGAGTCCGGTTCTCCTCCAAGTTCCTCGCCCCTCGGTCCCTGTTATTCGCTCTATTATTCGTGTCCTGGAGCCTAGCTGACTCCTCTATGGACAGACCCCGCTAAAAGGGACCGGTCGATTTAACAAGTTTCCCGAGCAGCTGTTAGCTGACAGATCTCATTTTAAAGTGTTTCCTTAGCGCCCGGTCAAGGACAGCTCGACTTCGTTCGTTTCCCCTCTGAGGTCTCAGAACTCTCACCCTTCTCCCTTGCTCCTTGCAACCGGACCCCTCTATGATGAATTACAGGACTTCTTCTTTAGCATCTTGGGAAACATCCGAGTTTGTTTACTAATTTGAAAAACAAGAGATTATCCCTCTTCGAGTCTGAAAAAAAAAAATCGACGTTAAGTTTGTACCTCGTCTAATTTCATTTATTGCGGAGTGCTAAAAAAGAGACGCTCGCCAGGAGTAAACGTCCTCTCTCTCTCTCTCTCTCTGTCTCTCTCTCTCTCTCTCTCTCTTCCTCCCCTCCCCCCGCAACGATTTAAAATTCTATTTCTGGTCTATTTTCATCGGAACGGTTTGTTACATTAGAGGAACATCTATATTCCTGAGTCATTTGTCTGTATTGTGCCGGACAGGGCTTGCTGTGAGAAGTGTGGCTATGCAAATATATACTCACAAAAGAATATTTACATATGAAAAGTTATATTTAAGTGTGTAAACAAATATACCTCTTTAAGTGTGGCTTAGGGGACATTTTCAAGTACTCTGAATATTAATGCAGACTTTCTGGAAGTTAAAGGTAACTTGATCATTATTTTGGATCTAATACTCTTAGTAAAAATAAGAGGAATTACAGAACATTAATATGTATATCTTCCATATATTGGTTAAGGCATCAAAACAAATTAGCAGATAATTTAAGAAGTTCTGTCAAAACAATCTGAAATACTTGTAAAAAGAGAACACAATTATAACTTAATATATTAGTGTTTCTCAAATAGATGTAAATAGAAGCTGGATATAACCTTATGTTATTCTACAATACTCATATTAAAATGTTCACATTTGGTGAATTTAAGGATTATGCATATCATGCTTTTTAGAAATGTTTCGCCTTTCTAAAACATTTCATTTTTTGCCACTTTTAGGAGAACCAATGTCTATAATTTTTCCACAGCTATAGCTTTTAGGTATTAATACATTGTGTCAGTACTTGCTTTTGTTTTGTTACACCACAAAAGGGACTCAAATACTCAAAGTTTCCAAAGTTATACAAATTTAGAAACAATTTTACATTGAGTCTTGGGTTACTCTCTGTAACTACTTTCTGATATTATCAGAGGAAAATAATAAAAAAACTTTAGTCCTTTATGAAAATCTGTTTTTAAGATTATTTAGCAGAAAGGCCAGTAATGGGGTGAGCTAAGTGGATATGGTGCTCAAGGCGCTCTCAAACTGAGGTGTTAAATACATATTCATAAATAACTCAAAAATAACCACTGTTAGAAGTCGGCAAGGAATCAGGAGACCCACCAGCTACTAGTTTGCCTTTTTAAGCATGATTTTTAGGTTTGAACTCATCTTTCATCTACTGAGCTTGAGGGAAAGATGACCACTTTAAAGGTAATCAGGGAAGTCACAGACACAACTATTGTGTAATCCAAACCAATAGATTTTCCCATGATCTCAGCTTTTTGGCTCATTGCATATTTAGGAATAGTAGTGTTGATAACAGATGGAGCTATGAGAAATCTTTAGTGTCTGACCACAGATTCCCACTGGCCTAAGGGAAGTTTACTTTAAAAAAAAATCAAGGTTATAAAATCATATACTAATGAATGCTCACAAAGTTCCAATGATTTTGTTTCATTAAACAGCAAGTATTTTCCAGAGATAGGACATTTCAAAATACAGTTTTGGTAAAAAAAAGCATTTATGGTAAAGCTCAGCTGACAGTCTGTGGACGGATATACAGGTTCCAATAAAATTCAGGACCCAAGGGTTTCCCCAGCTTTTGAATTATTTAAAATATACACATAGTGTTGTAGTAGTTAAGTTTTAAAATGGTGCCTCAAAATTGGCTAGTTAAGGTACATTATTTATGAAAAATATATTGTGGAGGTGATTTTTTACCATCTCAAATATCTGCGGAAAATTGTAGCTTGGTTATCTAGCAGTGGTGAATGAGTTGGTTCTCATAGTCGACCAAAACCCAGGCCAACAATTTATTTATCTTTTTAGCTTTGCTTAAGCGTAAATGAGGAAAAAATAATTTTCACGTAAGGAAAAATAAGTTATGTAGTATGAGTTACAGAAAATGCTGAGTCTCTTTAATTTCTATTGGTTTAAATTAAAAAACTCCACACACCTATAAATTTGATTTCTCCTTCAGAAGAAACCGCTCCCCGCCTCGCCTCAGGCAGGTTTCTCCTATTCCTCTACTAACCAGTTACTTTAATCTGAGAAACTAATTTGCACTCAACTTGTGAGTGCCTTCACCTTCAGGGCAGAAGAAACACCGACTTTTAATGCATTTTTGCAAATAAATCATTACAATTTAATCACACAAGACTCTATACAGACACACTCCCATGATTTATTATCGTTGCGCGAGTTTCCCCCTCCCTCAGCATGAGATAACCAATTTTGTTTCGTGTAGGTGTCATAAACATAACTTCCTACGATGCAGATTTGTTTACTGATTACCCATGACGATAACGACGACTACTAGGACAATAACACTCTCCAGTCCCACCTTTATTGCTTTTGGTAACAATAAAATCAAAATAAACAGGCACGCAAAACAAACGCCAAACAAAAAATTGGCAGCGTTAAAATCTACTCCCTCGGCATTCCCAGCGCCTGGCAGCATCCATCGATGCACTCGATATCTCGGCTGAAGCTGCCTGGCGCTAGAACCAGGAAGGCGCTGAGCTTAAACTGAAGCAAGTTCTGTGTACGCCGGCGGCGCCCTGATCTAAAGAAACGTCTCAGGGTCTGCGGCGCTTGCACGTCAGCGGAAGGTGTGAGCCCAAAGGTCTGGACCGAGGTGATGCCCACGACCAGGGCCTGGCGAGCGGCGTCCGTGGCTGCGGGGCTCCGAGGCCCTGCTCTGGCAAGAGGCGGCATGGGGCCTGCCGCAGTTTGCGCTGGATGTCGGCGGAGGGTGGGCGGCGGCCTCGCGGCGTGTGCAGTCTCAACGTGCGCATGCGTCCCGCACCTGGGAGGCTCCGGACTCCCCCGGTCAAGGCTGGTGGCTGTAGGATGGGTGGGTGGGTGGCCGCAGGCCTCAAGCTTGGCCCTCTGTCTTGAGGACGTGTCGGAGAGTTCGCCGACTCCTCCCCTCGCCCCCCATTCCTGGCTCTTCATCGCTGCTTTTGGGTTTCCTGGCTCATCTTGCAATATAAGCCTGGCGCTTCCTCACTAGCTCTAGGTAGGGTGGATCAAGAGGGAGGCTGGATTCTGGTGCCCTCTGTCCCATCCACTCCGCTGTCCCTGCTTTAGATCCACCTCTTTCTGATTCCGCCCTACCCTTTCTGGCTCACACTGGCTTGCTGAGAGAAGTGGTGCAGGGTGAAATAGATGTTCCTTTCTTGGAGTATAAATATGCTTGCCTTAAACACACTATATATTCCCTTGACTTCTGTACTTGTGGCCATGTGACTAAGAGCATATGGCTTTGTTTACTTTTGCAAGATGTTATAATGCACCGTAAGGCATGTTGCCTGCTCTTGATTTTAGGTTAACCTTGACGTAATTTCTCTCAGAAGTTGTGTATCTTTAAATGCACACTGGAAACCTAAACAAAAAAATATTTTTTTGGGCC